GGAACTTTTAAAAAAAAAAATCCTTGGTGGACGGTAAAAGCTTAAAAAGTCAAAAAAAAAAAAAAAAAAAAGAGAACAAATACTGAGACATGGAAACGGGGGGAATTCACGTTACCCATTACGGTCAGTGGAGAAGGTTGGCTCTTCCTCAGAATTACTACAATTATTAAATTACTTTTCAATTATTAAATTTCCTATTGAATTTATTGTTAAAGCATTCTGTTGAGTGAGAGCTCTGCAGTGCTCTCTAGAGGTTCTGATCCCTCTGCTGATCCCAGAGGCTGCCTGGAGAAGCCTGGTGGCTAAACTAGCAAGGTGGCTCAAGCTGGGTGGTGCAAACCCCTCTCTCTACCTTCCAACATTGGGTTTCAAGTGCTAGATAGAGGGATATTCTTTGGACCAGCTGAAGGTTGGATTTCTTTACAGCTGTTAAGCTGGTTTTAAAAATGGCTTTAAAAGTGCTGAAAAAGCTTCTGAAAAAGTTTTCAATGTGACTTATAAATAAAACTACATCAAAGACCCAGCATCATGCCTTGGAACCTAACAGCGATCATCCCCAAGTACTAACCATTTGGAGCTGGTATCTCAAGGTCTAAGCAATTAATTTGTGCCATCCACTTTTATGATACAGGTCCATATTAAAATCAGTCTATGGCACGGCATGAGACTCCACTTAAGTGAAGTATCAAAACACACGCCCTTACTGTGAGAAACCATGCTCACAAAGAAGCCCTTTCCCCCAGGATTAGCGAGGAGTGGAATGCAAACATGTCTTTCTAAAGAAAACAACAGAACACAAACCCTTTAGACACTTTCTCCTCCAAGCTCTGAAAGAGGAGACGAAAGGGTGGAGGACAAGAGGGTTTTAGCTTCAGGAAATTGGGGAATCTAAAGGTTTAAAGAAACCCACTGCCTTCATTTCACACAAAGCACTCCGCCGCCGTAAGACTCAGCAGAACACTTAAGGACATGCTTCACTTTCGTGTCCATTTATTAAATTAGTAGAGTTAAACACACAGTTGCATTAAATATAGCTTCCTATATGTCAAATACATTGAAAAACGTGTTAAAAGCCTTAAGCCTTTACTGAATCTGGACAAGTTTCTGTGATTGTATTATTTCTGTGACACAGGTAATTTCACTATTATCTAGGAATACACGAAATCTCTCCTGGCTTTTATATCACCTATATTAATATTTGTAAAACACAAATGCAAAACTTATTTCTTGTCAGTCTGTTCGTGTTGCCAGGTTGTATTAAAGACAGGCAATTCCCCCATGCTGTCCAAAGAACAGACAAACAATGGCAGCATTTGGGTCTGTGAAGCAGAAGATGCACCTGAGTCAGCGTGATGAGGAAAAATACAGACTCTGGGTACTTGTTGGTGGGGGAACGCTACTGCAAGTGAGGGAGAAAAACAGTGCTAAAAAATAAGATCCCAATCCTGCATTTCATTTCAAACAGGCTCCCTGCTTTAAATCTACTAATTTCACCAGTGGCAGCGTGGACAGTCGCATAGGAGAACTAGACCTTGAGTATTTGTAAAGCTCATTAAGGCTTTATGTGTTAAGGCTTTATTTTTTAAGCCATTATATAATTCCCTAACCATTGAGCATAGGTAATCATGAAAACATAAACCTGAGCTGAGGTCCTGGTGCTGCTGAAATCAGTAGAGATGTTACTTTTGACTTTTGCAAGTCAGGATTGCATTCTTTGTCTGAGGAGAGCCATCAGTTACTGTATATAATCATCTGAAATACACAGCTAGAGCACTAGTATTTTCTTACCGAGAGGTGGTCCATGTGTTATAAGAATATCTATTCCATCTGGAATAAGGTTCCATTTCTCTAATAGTGCTTGGCCTCGTGGAAGATTAAAGCCCCAGCCATAAAACCAAGGTTGCCTGCCAAGAGAGGAGGAGAATGTCTTCAGTGCTACTTCCATGTACTGGTTATCTAATTAAAATATGAAGATTGACTCTCTACTAGCATGGAATTTGGAGACACAAATAGCATTCATTTTCTTCTTTGTGTGCACAGTAAAACCCTCTTTCCATACAACCAGTGTTATTTAACTTGTGTGGCAAATTGGTACAGTCCTTACCACTTTCAGTAGGCAGCGTACAGTAAAATGTTCACAGTATTCCTCTAACTAGGTGAAAAGTAACTCTTCCAAGAGCTGGATACCAAGATCTCCATGTGTGGATTAGCATGCTGGACTCCCACAACATCTAGAAGAACACCTGTCTCCGATACCTAGGTGTGCATATACATTTCACATCAGCTCCCATCACATTTGGCCCTTCGCCTACGATCAGCTGGGCAAGGACAGGCCCTGGCACAACGACAGATCCCGCTCTGAAGCTGGAGCCATCATCTATGCTGGTTTGTATCCCTAACTGGAAGCATCCCATCAGAACAAGAATACTGCTTCTTTTCTTACATAGAATTTTCTCCTGTCCTTTGGTGTGCTGACTTGCTTTTAAGTAAAATTTTCCATAGTCAGGATCAGACGGGCATTTACATTTTTTTAAAACATATTTATGGAGCGGCTCATCATGGAGCAGTGGGACTGTAACACTGCCAGTCAGAACACAATTTAGCCGTATCTTGCTATCCCATTGATTAAAAAACTATATTTCACAGCAATTATATCACAGTGGTAAATTATGTCTTGCTGACTACGCTCTAATTCTAGGTCATAAAATTGAGGGGTTAGTTTTAGGTTGGAATTTTTTAGTAATTTTTTGACTGACATGTTCTGGACATATCCGTATTTGGTGAACAACAAATAGGCTGCTGTGATTTAATAAGGTTTATGATAATTGCAGCCTTAGTGTTTATAAATGCATACACATCAACCAGAGTTCCCTTTGAGATGTTACTTTGTTGAGGAAGGCTTTACACTCCCTCACCGCATCAAAAGACAGAAAGAATTCTTTCAAACAAATTCTCTGAACTCCACTTTACATCATGTATGGCAAAGACAAAAGAAAATGCCCATAAAGCTATTATTCATCCTCTTCCATTACTGATGCTTGACTAACATTTCAAAAATTAGCATGTCTGCAATCTTCATGATGATATATTTCCCACTTTTCCTTTTGGAATGCTGTAAAGCACATGTCTATTGAAAACAGCTTAAAAAATAGAGCTTGCTAAAATATAAAGGGACGTGGCATGCCCGAGGGAAGAAAAGAAAATTCTGCTACAAGGAAGGGAAGAAGGGGGCTTTGCAGCATGTTTCCTACCTTTCTTCCACAGATTAAAAAAGCCTCAACTTTTCTAGACAGATGACTGAAGGGCCTTCTGTGTCCATGGCTAAGAGCTCACCTCCTAGCTCTTCCTCACACAGCACCCTGGATAACCAGGGTCTGGATAAACAGGTGTCCCAGGGAGGGGAAAAAAAAAAAGGTGAAACTTTGGACATCTGCCACTGGGACCAGAAATACACCCCAGCCTCCAGAAGCTGTGATGAGGGGGTTGAAGAAGGTGTGTGAAGAAGAGATGCTAATAGCAGTAGCAATGAAGTGGAAACCTTGTTCTGAGTCGGGTTGCTCAGACCAGGGTGGCTGGCTGAGGAAAAGACATATCCCTATACCAGGGATAAGAAACCACGCTTTTCTGGTTACCTGTTCATCTCCTAGCAGGCTTTCCTGATAGGAAGCACCTGGCTCACAGGTACATGACTTCTCATCTTCCTACTGCCGGGGTGGTAATTCCTGGGCTAGTTACTGGCTTATTTTGCAGAGAGCTACCAGCGGCGTTCCTGTATAACACTGTCACGCAGAACCAAACCACAGTCTGTGGGGTTGCATCAGCCTGTCTTTATGTCCAGCTCACCATTGTCAGAATGGGACTATTTTTACCTCACGGGAATGCCCTGAAAATAAATAAACTGAAGTCTGCGGGGTGCTCAGATATTACAGAAGTGGGAGCCTTTATAAAAATACACAGTGGTTAGGCTTTTTCCAAACTCTCCATCCACCCTTGCCTTGGGATTGTGTTCCACACTTTATATGCCAAATACCTTTCTTCACCAAGATGAAACTACTCAACTGTTTGGCCAATTGTCTTTAGTCCCAGCGCAAGTTTTCCAGGAGCAAAACTTCACTGACCTGGACAGACTGGAGAGCTGGGTGGAGAGGAACCTGATGAAGTTCAACAAGGGCAAGTGTCGAGTGCTGCACCTGGGGAGGTCAAACCCCATGCACCAATACAGGCTGGGGGCTGACCTGCTGGAAAGCAGCTCTGCTGAGAGGGACCTGGGAGTCCTGGTAGACGACAAGCTGACCATGAGCCAGCAATGTGCCCTTGTTGCCAAGAAGGCCAATGGTATCCTGGGGTGTATTAAGAGGAGTGTGGCCAGCAGGTCGAGGGAGGTTATCCTCCCCCTCTACTCTGCCCTGGTGAGACCCCACCTGGAGTACTGTGTCCAGTTCTGGGCTCCCCAGTTCAAGAAAGATGAGGAACTCCTAGAAAGAGTCCAGAGGAGGGCAACTAGGATGATAAAGGGACTGGAGCACCTCCCCTACGAGGAAAGGCTGAGAGAGTTGGGCTTGTTCAGCCTGAAGAAGAGAAGACTGAGAGGGGACCTTATCAACACATACAAATATCTTAAGGGCGGAAGTCACGAGGATGGAAGCAGTCTGTTTGCAGTGGTGTCCAGCGACAGGACTAGGGGCAATGGGTGCAAACTGAAACATAAGAGGTTTCAGTTGAATATGAGGAAAAACTTCTTTACTCTAAGGGTGACAGAGCACTGGAACAGGCTGCCCAGGGAGGTTGTGGAGTCTCCTTCTCTGGAGATATTCAAAGCCCGCCTGGATGAAGTCCTGTGTAGAATGCTCTAGGAGAGCCTGCTTTAGCAGGGGGGTTGGACTGGATGATCTCCCGAGGTCCCTTCCAACCCTTGCGATTCTGTGATTCTGACAGAAAATACTCGCAAGGGCAAATAGGAGGCAAATGAAGTGTAGGCATAGTAAATCACGGTTTTAAAGCCACTGACAGATTCAGTGAATACAGGCCCCTGCTGCCACCCATCACTCGCCCCAGCACTGCTGGGCATGGACAGGAGCGTCCCCATGTCCCCGGTGGGAAGGGCGGCGAGGAGCCATCCTGCACCCTGCAGGTTTGCCAGACACTACAGAATGGGCCCCGGCTGCCCCACGCCCCAAGAAAGAAACCAAGGGGAAAGATCAATATTTGCGCAAGAAGAAAAGGTCAAAAACCTGTGCAATAATTACTTTAAGGATACAATGAAGCATTTATAAGTACAAAAAGAGATAATCGCGGCCGTCACAGGGCTTGCCCGAAGCCAGCTTAATCCTGCTTAAATCCGAATGACCACGAATGGCACAGGCAGCTGTGAGAGCCTCTGCCTGCCTCTAACTAGGGCTAGCCGGTACACGGCCACTTTTTAAAAAGCCCCTTTCCCCTTATGAATAGGCATGATCTGCTTATTAAGACAAGCGGCGCTTTCCCCCGTCCCTCCCTCTCTTTGTGGCGACGGCAGCGCGTAGCCGCCCGAGCGCAGGGCTGGTAAGTTATGCATGCTGGAGCTGTTCTTTTGTGAAGGGGAGATGTTACAACTTGTATGATTTGCCATTATGCTGTCTTTTGTGACAATCCCGTGATCGAAAGAAATGTCTGGAATATTTCTGCAAAAAAAAAAATAAATCTGAAGTCCAAGAAAGGATTCAGCAGAGGATGTCGGTGTGCTTTACATTTAGAGAAGATAGACAAATCATACACTTCAGTGCCCCCACCCCCAAAGCAAAACCATCTTTATACACACGCAGGGATTTTATAAATCCCCAAGTCCCTTCTTCTGAAAATTTATTGCAAAACAGCCATGAAAGTTTCTGACAAGGGAAAAAAAAATCTTCTCTAATACCCACTAACAGGTCTGTGACCTGGATATCGTGCAAAAACAACTTTGTCTAAAATTCCCATTCATGATGGAACCTGAAAGCAAAGTTAAACGTCTTCATATCAAGCACCGAATTTCTGGATCCCCTGTTACTGCTCTCTCAGGAAAAGTGTAATTTTTTTATAAATTACTTTTCAATAATATTTTACATTTTACAAAGAAAATACTGTCATGTGTGTTCTGTAAGAAAAAAATCTGCTGTTCTCAAAAAAACCCCAAGAAAAATGCATCTGGCAATTAAAGACATACATCATGAAAGTATTTCACCTCCAAAGTGAAGCGCTCATGTGTAGAAATGTACTTTGATTTAGGTCTTACCGTCTTAAAGCGAACAGTTTGAGCCTCTCCACACACTACTGAAATTCAGCGGTATTATTATTATGATAAGAATAACGATTGTCTACATATAAGACTCTTGGGGGAAAATATATTGGAAGTGAATTTGTTTACAGCACAATTAACCTTATGTTAAAAACATATGAACGAGTTTTGCAGGTCATATAATCGACCATACAGAAAGGGCTGAATTATCAGAATTTGTGCTAGCAATCGGATGCTGCTTTATGTACTGAATTTCTATCTTTCTGTTCTAAAGTAACCATTGGAATAATTTTCTTACAGAATGATAGTTGCTATGACAACCATAGCAAATTTTCCTTTTCTGAAACAGATGTCTCATTTAGTTGAAAATTAGAATGTGAAAAACCCATGGGAAAAATTAATTCAAACTTTAACAGAACACTGACTACAATGTAATCTCTTATAGGTTAACCCCTTAACATCTTTCTGCACTCTTATAGTAACCTTCTCATAAATTCTAATTAAACCAGTTTAACCTCCTAGGAATGACCTTCTTAGCTATCATTAGCGCTTTAGTTGGCTTTGAAAGGAGCATTTCTGTTACAATAATAACAGAAAAAAGTCATACTAAAAAAAAAAGTGGTCAAACACATTACCGCCTTAATTATTTAT